AAATACCTCAAATATTAATGGAAATATTTCAAATACCCCCTCAAATCTCTCAGATTTCCACCCAAATCCCTCAAATTTCCACACAAATCCCCCCGAGGGATCTCAGGATGCTCCCAGACCCTTCCCAGTTCTCCCAGCACAGGCCAAGGAGTAACAGCCACAAACCAAACCCATAAATCTCAAATTTTTCACCCCTGAATCCCAAATTTCCACCCCTCAATCCCAAATTTCCACCCCTAACTCCATTTTTTTGTCCCTGCAGGTGACAGAGATCGGCAAGGACGTGCTGGGGCTGCGCATCAGCCCCCTGCAGTTCCGCTAGGAATTCTCCTGGATCAGGAAATTCCCTCTCCCCCCTCCCAGCTCTCACCCCAATCCCTCCCCTTGCCCATTCCCATCCTCTCTTCCAGGTTTTTCCCCACCTAGGAATTCCAGATTGAGGTTTTCTTTCCCCACATTTAGCAGGATTTTTTTTTTTTTTTCCTCGTTCCCAGACCGGTTTTCCTGTGCTTTTATCCCAGATTTGTTCCTGAGGGGAAGGGCAGATTTTCCCCAAATCCTGGTTGTGACATCTGCCCCCCCTTAAAATCCCAAAAAATCGCTTGGAAAAGCCAGGACTGGCTCTGTAAATCCCGAATCCAGGGAAATCCTGCTCCCTCTGGAACTCCTTGTGTTGTCATCATAATGAGCTCCCCTCGTTAATAAATGTTCATTAATCACCTGGATTTCCCTGCTTTGCAGCTCAGGACGTGCACCAAAAAAATTGGAATTTAATCCCTTTTCCCACCTTGGAAGAGTTGGGAATTTCCCAGAGCATGGGATTGTCACTCCTGGAATGATTTGGAGCTGGGTATGTTAATTAGTGGGGTGTAATTAGCGCCCCAATTAACCCTGAGGGCTTGTCCTGCTTTTCCTGGTGGAGTTTTGTCCTTTGGAATTCCCAGGTTTGGCCCCAGGGCATGGAAAAGGCTCCAGGATTCCCAAATCTGGGTGGGAATAAAAACAGGGGAGGATCCAGGGATGCAATTCCAGGGATTTTCCTGCTGGGAATGTGCAGGGAATGGAGAATCCTGGAGGGGGGATCAGGCTGGAGAAAAGGGGGATCCAGGGG